TATTCACTTCGGGCATGTACGGCTAGTTTCAGCCATACAACAGCTGAAATTAGCCGTACATTGGCTTTCTGCGGCTGGCTTCGGTTCAGCCGAAGTGCAGAAAGAGTTTGACTTAGCCAATCCAACATCTGGATCGGCTAAGCCGAACCTCCGGCAGGGTTCTCGCTGCTTTTCAGCCTAGTCTCATAGGGAACGAATGGCATTGAGTGAATATGAACGGCATTCGGCTCAGCTGTTCAGCTCAGTACCTCCGTGGTACCGAGCAGAATAATAAAACAATTTAAAAAGTTGAAAAAAAGTTAGAAAAAAAACTGTTTCCAAATGTAAATAAATGATCAATGTTTAAAAATAAATACAGATTTTTAAAAAAATAAAGATTATTGAAAAAATAAAAAAAAGCAATGAAAAAGCAAAAATAGAGATCAATGAAAAATAAAATTGCTCGCGGCATTTGGCTATTCATTTACTGCCATTCAGCCCCTATGAGAATAGGCCGAACGGCAGCGAGAAGTCTGCCGGAGGTTCGGCTCAGCCGATCCAGATGTCGCCCTCCTTCTGCACTTCGGCTAAGCCAAACATGTTCGACCGAACTGAAACCAGCCGCAGCAAGCCGATGTATGGCTGAAATTAGCCGTACAAGCCTGAAGTGAATAGCCACACAGCGTTCGGCTCACTTCGGGTCGGTTGTTCACTCAGCTGCCTTCGGCAGCTTTATGAATAACCCTCATAGTCTTTTCCTTCACCCAACGTTTACGTTCAGTGTCCATTGGATGGAGCAGGACACCAATGCCAAAAAGGACAGGACACAAAAACATGCCAATAAGGTTATTTATGCTGTATAAATGTGGTGTTTATTGTATGATTCTATTGTCAATGTTAGAATTGTTTAATTACATATGTATATGTATGGACAATTTGAACAATTTAACACCCCCTTCCCCCATGAAACGTGTAAGTCTGTAGCCATATTTGTTTATGCATACACTGAGGTCTGTAGTGTTTTTAACCCTACTTCAAAAACAAACCATGAAAACTGAAAATCCGCTCCACAGATAAACACACTTTACTGACACTAGCACAAAAAAACAAAAATCACAAGATACACCACATCGAGAAAAACTTTGGTATGGATATTAAAACTGTTTTTCAACATCAAGCAAATGACCACTGAAAATACCAGCAACATACAAAAACAGTAAAAAAAAATATCCCTAGTTAGAAGAAAGCTCTGAGATTGGACATTAGAAATGATTTAATGATCTCTATCAACATATGTTTTATCATACGTTTTTTACATGGCATTTTAATTAGTTTATCCTCACTGAGAATTTAAATGTCGTTAGCACCATCAAAAGTTGCAAAAAAATATTTTCTTCATAGGTTTGATAACCTTGAAATCTGGTATTTAGCAGTCTTTAAAATACACACATCAAGAAGACAGGCTAATTCTGTCCTCCGAGTACCCTTGACATAAATTCTATCTCGATTTTACAACTTGTGTTCCGTTACAAGTTAATCTTGTCTTTGTAGTTATAAAGACTGTACTAGATTTGACGTGTTCACCAAACAGTTCAGCAATATGTAAATTCAAATAAGTAGCTTATCGAAGGTCCTCTCTTTAGGTTTCTTTTCATTGCAATCTGCTGTACTGTGATAGTCTCGTTATATCATTTTAGAAGAGCTTACTAAATAAAATGTAAAGGGAACCTCACATTACAACCTTAGCAATGGAAATATCTACAGGAGAAAAAAAATATATCTTTGCTATATATGCTCTAAACAGATTTTTCAAAGATTATAAAATTATAAATAAAAGTGATGTCCTAGAAGAGCACATTAAATAGTAGCCCCAATACATTATGCTATTACGCCACACTCATAGGGTTATTCACAAAAGGGTGAAGAGTTTGGAGAAGGCAGGAGAAGTGAACAATCTAGGACAACATAGCTGATTTGGAAAAATTCTCCAATTCAGCTCACTTTCCAGTTCAGCTATGTTGTCCTAGATTGTTCATTTCTCCTGCCTTCTCCAAACTCTTCATCCTTTTGTGAATAACCCTGTCTGTCTTCACTTATCCCCTAGGGCAGGGCTCAAAATGTCCAGTCCTGAGCTACTAGACAGGCCTTAAGAGTTACTAGCCACCAGTTGCCCCACCTAACCCTTACCCTGCCCCAGCCTTAACTTTGCCCCTAAACACACCCTCTTAAATAATCTTATGATAATTGCCGCTTGTAAACGGCAGATTAGGGATTCCAGCTGCAGGAAAACGCAAGTTCCTGACACAGGAATCTCTAATCATACCTGAAATATACTATAGGTGTGAATGGGGCCTAATATACACATACACTAAAGGTGCCCATACACCTGCCGATTATCGTACGATTATCGCGGGTGATCCCGCGACCGTACGATAATCGGCAGGTGTATGGGCAGCGTGCCACCGCTTCTACTATACGGTCGTACTACTTTCGTCTTCCAAGCACGCTGTAAAACCTGCGGAAAATCGTACGATTTTTGGCGGGTTGGTGGCGTGGCCCGTTCAGCACTGCAATCATCGGAAGCCCTCCCCTCAGTGGTACGATCTGCCTGTCCAAGATGGGCAGATCGTATGAAATTTTAATGACCTTACAACCATCGCACAACGAAAGTCGTGTGATGGTTGTAAGGTGTATGGCCAGCTTAAAACACAATAATGCACTTCTCAACGTTACCCCCCCCCCCCCGCACAAATGTAATAAAATTCCCCCCACACACAAAAAATAATACACTCCCCCCCGTTATAAGCCCCCCCACACACATAAAATAATATGCTCCCCCCCTTATTAACCTCCCCACACACATAAAATAATATGCTCCCCCCCTTATTAACCTCCCCACACACATAAAATAATATGCTCCCCCCCTTATTAACCTCCCCACACACATAAAATAATATGCTCCCCCCCTTATTAACCTCCCCACACACATAAAATAATATGCTCCCCCCCTTATTAACCTCCCCACACACATAAAATAATATGCTCCCCCCCTTATTAACCTCCCCACACACATAAAATAATATGCTCCCCCCCTTATTAACCTCCCCACACACATAAAATAATAATACACTCAGCCCCCCACCTGTTCACGTCTTTGCAGGGAGGAGGCTGTGAGCAGGATCGATCCCTGGTTATCTGGGGGTGATTAGTGAGGTCTGCAGCAGATCTCACTAATCACCCCCAGATAGCCAGGAATCGATCCTCCTCACATACATTCTATCTTTTTCGGCCGGAGCTCAAAACTGTCAGAGCTCCGGCCGAAGAAAGCCAGAGCTGACAGGAGCTGCTTTGCGGTCTGCATCCGACACAGATGCAGACCGTGGAGCTGCTCCCGCAAGTCAGGTACGCGGTCTGCGACCATGTTGGCCTGCGGACCGGTACTTGGAGACCCAAATTTTCACTCACCCTCACTTTATTTTTACTCGCCAAATGCGAGCAGGCGAATGGAAATTTTTAGCCCTGCCCTAGGGTACACATAATGTACATTGAACAAGTCAACAATTATCACTGAAAGTCCCACCATATTATATCTTGTATCTTAAAGCATACCTTTTTAAAAACTGTTAAAAACACAGTAAAAATACATATACATGAACTTCCTTACCTGCCGAAAATGTGTTACTTTATTTAGACAGTTTTCTAACCCCAACTTCCAATATCATTTTACTTTTTTTACTGCATGCAAAGCAATGCAGCGTGGTCAGGACTGTGATTGGATAGTACTGGAGCATCAACTCACCACAAAGGCCTTACCTGTTTTCTGTCCTCCATTTAAAAAGCTTAGGTTGTTAGATTCACAGCACTGAGCACTGCAATTGCTTGATTGCCTTAAACCGCTGACTGTTTTTCTCCCAGTCTGCATGCAAATGTGCAGGGGATTCAAACAGAATAGTGCTAAAAGACATTGAAGTACTATTGAAAATAAATGTATTTCACTGGATAAACATTTAACTGCATTAACTACCTCCGGGCCGGCCGTTGTAAAAAAAAAACGGCTGGCCGGGAGCTCTCTAGATCTGAGCGGGCGTCTTTAGACGTCCGCTCAAACACGCCCCCTCGCGGGCGCGCGCGCGAGCGGGAAATGCCTGATATTTAAAAACAGGCAGCGATGCCTGTCAACATACAAGCGATCCGCCGGCGGATCGCTTGTATGGGGTAACGATTGGTGCCCCCCCTCTGCGGTCTTCGCCCCTGCCGATGTACCCGCTGGTCGCGGGCTCCGCTGTGCCCGGTGCGAGCCCGGGATCAGCATGGCGCCTGTGTCACAGGGGATCAGAGGGAGCTCGTTACACGAGCTCCCTCCGATCCCCTCTCTTCTGCAAGAAAGCGGAAGTGTTGTATATTACATCACTTCCGCATTCTTGTGTCACTCTCCAGCTTCAGGAACTGGAAAGAAGCTGATGGAGCAGATCTGTGCTTCATCAGCTTCTTTTGGGGGTCCTAGGTGACATTATCGGTCTTGGAGACCCCTGATGTCTCCATAAAGAGGACCTGTCACATATTTTGCTATCACATATGGGGGTTTTATTAGCCCCCGTATGTGATAGCAATAAAGTTTAGTGGAAAAAAAAATAGGAAAAATAAATAAAAGCCCCCCCCCCAAAACAATTTTAAGTTACACATAAAAAAGAATAAAAAAACAACAAACATTTTTAAAGTCCCTATCCATACATACACGCATGAAAACATGCGTCGGGGGCGCATACATGCAAAAAAAGATGATTGCGCCCATTACGCCGCACATGTTACATATTGCCGCGAACGTCACAGTGAGAGCAATGCCATAATAAATGCGTTGAGCCTAAAATCCATACATATAAGGGCAAATGGTACATAACATTACACAAATATACATAACTAAGTCAGCCTTTTATGAAATAAATGATAAACTATTTGCACAAACATATCCCACAAGTTGTGAAAGAGTGCCCATCACATAAATGTATTTAGGAAAAAGTGACCTGGATAGCTGCCAAGTTCTTCTGCTCCTGGGATGGTGCCTCATGGACAAAGCGTAGCCAATTGGAATGGCGTGGATTTGTGGCATCTAAAACATACAACACTTCTCCTTTATTTCCTCGGACCTGAAAAAGACATAATTTGAATACAGAATGTTTCCTAGAAAAATAGGAACTGAAAACCATGTATGAAAGTAACTGCCTATATATAATGATAGTGAAAGGGGACTTTTTTTTAAAGCATGGAATGGATAGTTTGCCATTTACTTATATTGGAAACAAACTCTGATGATTTTGCCCATGTATAAATCTGATCTGGCCCTTTAAAACTATTTACAATAAGTTCTTTTTAGTGAAATGATGCCACCCTATATTGGGTATTTTTTTCAGTTTCAATATTTATATTACATTTCATATGCAAACATAGTAAAGAATGGTTTCCCATGCAACAAATATCCTTACTCTCTTGTCTACTACAGCTGTTGATGAACTCTGGCATCCTGCATTATTTTAGCTCGTTCTACTCCATCTATTGCTTTAAAACTTTATTTTGGCCCTGCTCTCTTTCTTCTGCCTCCTGGATTCCCCTAAACACATCTACAATCTTGTTCCTGTCTTTTTTACATATCCAAGCCATCTAACATGTTTGCTACTACTACTTGGACATTCGCAGTTGCTATGTCATGACTTCATTTTCTTCTCATCCCTTCTCTTCTTCCAAACAGGTACACAGTTTTAACCTCTCCTTTACTGCTCCATCCTGAATGAATATCAGCTGCAACCCACTTTTCATGCTACACAGATTTGACCTACAACTGTAAATTTGATGCCTATATTATTGATATATACTTATTTTCCTGTTTTGTTTGTTTAAAAAGCAATGTTATCTTTAAGGCCTATGTCGGTCTTGTCTTAGTGTGAAATGTTTGCTTTTTCATCCCATGTGTCTTGTAGAATTTCCTAATTGAATAATTGGCATACACTCCCCCACCCCATAGTCCTATAAATTAGATGTGCTTTTGGGGGAAGGCACATTTGCCACGGGGCATTGGCATTTTTGCTATGTCCATTTTAACATAAGTGTCAGGTGTGAATATTATTTGTTCTATTGATGAACTGATTAATATGTTTAAACTTGTACAATACTAATGGTGTGCTTTCTCGAGTGAAATCAAGCTATCACAACTGCAAGATAAATTCTTCCAGCGTTGAACTTCCAGCGTTGACTGGAGGGACGAACGGGGGAGGGGGCGGATACAGCTGGCTCTGCCTCTAGATAGGCAGAGCGTGCTGTCAATCACGCACCCGGGTCGATCTTGACAGTATTGTCGGGATCTGTCCCGGTTGCGGCAGGCTCAGTATAACGCGAGCTATAGCTCGCGGTATACTGAGCTTTGGGTCACGGGAGGACGCTAGTTTATGTCCTCCCGTGACCCTTAGGAGAACTATGGGGAAAAACTATGGGGAAAAACACTTACCCCATAGTTCTTCTTTAAACTTTCTTTCCTTTACCCCTCCTCTCCACCCCACAGATTATATATTTCCCCCTCTATCCTGCCCTCTCCCTATTACTGCACTCACCAACTCCTGCTCATTCTGAACCCACATGCTAGGGTTAGCATGTGGGTTCTGAACCCACATGCTAGGGTTACATAAAACTTCTTCCCATCTCACTTGCCTCACCTTCCTGCTTCTTCTGACTTCTGGGAATATTTCTCACAATCCTGGCCCTCTGTCATCCAATATTCACCCCTTCAAACCAGCACCACCTTTCTTGTGGCAGCAGCCGCAATACACACACTAATTTATATTCTGCTTCCAAGAACCAGTCCACACTTCTCACATGCCCTCTGGAATGACTGCTCTGTCTATAATAAGCTCACCGCTGTCCATGATATTCTTATCTCCAATTCCTTTACCATGCTTGCTGTTACTGAAACCTGGCTTCAGGAATCTGACTCTGCCTCGCCTGCTGCTCTCTCCCATGGTGGCCTCCACTGGACTAACACAATCAGATCCAGTGAACGTAAAGGAAGGAGGTGGAGTGGGAATCCTTCTATCCCCACAATGCACTTTTCAAGTTCTAACTTTAACTCAATCCCTCTCCTCTTTTGAAGCCCACTGTGTTCAGTTATTTTCTCCAGTTTCCCTAAGGATTGCTGTGATTTATTGGTCTCCTGCACCGGTATCTTGCTTTCTTGAGGATTTCTCTGTCTGGCTACCCTACTTTCTCTCCCCTGAATCACCCACTATCATTCTTGGTGACTATAACATGACTATTAAAGGACAATTTTGGGAACAGTGAAATATACTCATCCCCATAATTGAAGCCGACATGTGACACTGTAGCTGTCACATGTCGGCTCTATTGATCGAGAACTGACATACCGCTAATTGCTCAGTTCACGATATTTACCCTGCAGAGACTGTCAGTCACCGCTCCCTGCAGGGATTTGCCCCTCCCCTCTCCATCCCTCCAGCACTAACTGCAGGGACAGATGGGGTAGGGGGCGGGCACAGCTGGTTTTGGTTCTAGAGAGAGCCATCAGGGGTGGATCTGGACAATTTTGTCGGGATCCATCACGACTGCAGTGTGGCTGTTCTTGCTATTACGCCTTTCTGCTGCTTTTGAAACAGTTGGCCACCTGCTGCTCCTCAAAAATATCTGCTCACTTGGCCTCCAAGACTCTGCTTTCTCCTGGTTCTTCTCCTAACTATCTACATGTTTCTTTAGTGTCACCGCTGTCATATCAGTCTGGATGTCACACCACTTCTTAAAACTCAATCTTTCATGTTATTATAATGCCTACTAACTGCATATCTATTTCTGTGACTTCAATTCAGAGTCACAGAACTTGTTATTTTATCTTTAAAGTAGTACTCCAAGGAGTAATTAAAAAAAAATACTGGCAGTTCCCCCACTCTTAGTCATGCACACTACCTGTTTAGTCTGGTGGGGCTCTCCACATTTCCACAGGCTTCCTCCCTGTCAGACAACTGGTACCCAAAGCTGTTCCTCTTACCTTTCTCCACGTTCCCACAGGCTCCCTCCCTGCCAAACAACAGGTCCCCCGAAGCTGCTCCTCTTCCTCAATCTCAAGTTGGGTACACAATGCGCAGTGTGTGGGTATTACATATCAATGCATCATGACATTATATTCAGAATTAATTGTTTCGTGTTCACTAAGTGTGTCCCCATGTCTGACCATGTCTTTAAACATTTGTATGAATAAAGGTCTAAGTTCCAAGTACTTATGAATTAGGAATGTGGGAGAAAAGAAGTAATAACATACCATACAATATTAGTAGTAATGTTGTAATGTACATAAACTTAGGGGTATGAAGGTTTCATAAGCATTATGTTTAATATTAAAAGTGAAATAAGAGGAGAGACTAATGGACAATGGAAGATATCCAATGTCTAGCCTAAGCATCATGCAATAATTGTAAAGCGTATACAGCGAATCTTCCCTAAGTTCTTCCCATGCACGCGTCTTTCTGGTCACAAGAATGTAATATTTTAAAGTTATTACTGAAGAACCACCACTGCAATACAGTTCAATTCTCATACCTAGGGAGGTAGAGGATTATTGAAAAGGTTCATTAGAAGTACTGTACATATTTTTAGAGAGTGTTTTATTGATGAAATATTCGACTGGGCCTTTCTAAAGAGGTAACACCACCCACAAGAGGAAGTCTGTTGCTACAGAAAAAAATTTCAGGATCTGCAAAAAAATCCAAAGACAGATTTTCTATTAAGTGTAAGGTAATGTGTACAGTGTGATTTGGGACGCTTACTAATACTTGTTGAGCTTAAAGGCGCCAAATCTTTCTGATGTTTTGCAGACTTTGAACTGTACTTCAGCCTTACTCAACCAGGATTGTGTGGCACCCTGTAGTGCCTTCTGGGTTTGTCAGAGGTACCTTCAAATTTTTACATGTCATGTATTTCCATGGTGCAGTCGAGCCGGACACCAACATCATGGAAATGCATGAAGCTAATCCAGAACGGGCTGTAACCAGGACCTCCCTGAGCATTCAGAAGAAGATAGAAGTTCACCTCTGTCCGGACCTACTCCACGACCCGCTTTCTGCCATCCTGGCGCAGCTGCACTGTGGTGAAGATTATAATGTAGGTGAATGGGGGGGAGGGGGGACTAAGGACTCTGATGGGAAGAGGGGTTCCTAATGTGAAGGGGGCTTCTATATATATTTGCATGAATTTCCCCCTAAAAATGCAAACCGGGCCCTCATTTAGTATCAACGTCTGCTATGGATTTTGTAGGAACCACACATCATTTTTTTTCATTTACCTTTTTTACATTTTAGACCAAGGTGCCTCGAGATTTTTAAAGGGTGCCGTGGCTGAAAACAGGTTGAGAAACGTTGCTCTAGCTACAGCAAACAAAAGATGCTTTAGTCAAAAGCACAATAGTAAGTTGACCATATTTTCTAGCACATAACTTTTGTTTTTTGAAGCCAATAGACTTAGTAAAACCATATAGGTATTATTTGGTTACGACAGAGTGTTCCATTGTTAAAAAGTTTTGTGGACCCATAAATCTCTGTTTTCAATAAACACAGAGCTACATTTTTTTTCTACAGCCAGTATTAGCTCAATTTAGCATGGAATAGAGCACAATTATAGTTATGGCAAGGTTAAGCCTAGAACTCCATCAGAGAGTCACCCTGCTAGAGTTCAGGACAGTTACAAGCAGTTAGTGATTCAGCTTTTCAAATCTATCCCAAAGTAAGAAAAACGATTTTGACCTGTCTGCATTTGTTATTTTTAACACATTTTGGAAATTATTCAATTAAAACCAATGCAAAGAGGGTACAAAATGAATTTACTAGCATGAATTAAACCTAATCAATATGACTGCAATGACTTGAACTAGGGTTGTGCAGTTTGAAAAACATCACTGTCCTTTGCACTACTTTGATGAATAAGTCTGATTATAACAATACCATGTTCAGTATACCTTGTCTACAGCAAATTGTTGTACAGCATGTGTAATATATTTGGATTGCAGGCATGTATTCCCACCCTACAATGCAGGTAAAATCATGTTTGTGTCCATATAATGGTGTACTGCATGCACATGATTAGAGGTCCAACGTACATCTCAATTTAAAACATGTTTACACAGTGATACAATACAAATGTATACTGTTTGAATAGGGCATCCATTAAATTAGCCTAAGACTATCCCATCGCTAGCAAAACAGAATGATTCCCAAAGCGGAAGAATATCTAATTTACCTTTGGCACACTTTACCAGAATCAATATTCTTCGAGATTTAGTGAAAACTGACCATACCTTATCTTATTATCCAGTGTAATCATATCTCTTCTATAGATAATGTCCTTCTTACAGACTATACAGCATTGTATAAACATATCATAATGTCATTAGTTTTAACTTTATATCTACTCAGTTTGGGTTCCCCAGTTGCAGTGCAATGTATGCAAGTTGCATGTTTTAGATGCGTTTCACATGAATTTTACTCCTGGCCTTTTTAACGCACCGCAGCACAACACCCTTAAAATCTGCAAATGTCAAGATATCAAGTCATCCCATTTACCTTAAAAAAAAATGAAAGCCTTTTTATTTCCACTCTCACTACATTTCACTGAGACATAAAGGTCCTAGGCTTTGCTTTTAAACTGTAATTCAAAAGCCATATACCTAAACACCTTTGACACATTATATATAGACTTCATATATAAGCATGTGTATTCAGTATTCATTTCAAGTGCTTAAATGTATGAAAAATGTCATGTTTCAAATATAGGTGTAGCTTTTGGCCTATTTACGTTGCATATCTGAGCTGCAGGATATTCTCCCTTCCTACCAATGACTAACAGAGTGCAGGGAGAGGTGAGGGAAGGAGGACTTTGGCTGGCTACAACAGTGGCCGGAGCTAAAACTCACCCTAAGCAACCAGGGAGGAGAGAATCGGATTGGCTGACAGGAGTACAATCCGCCCACCAGACTCAGAGCAAAGGGAGAGCTCGAAGAACGGATTGGTTACAGGACAGGAGAGAGGACAGACTGTACTGTGGGGAGAGAGTCATGAGGGGTACAGGCTGGAGACAAGCAGTGTAATCCTGTGGGGAGTGAAATGTGCTGGGAGCCCACAGAGGGAGTTCAACAGATCACGAAGGAGGTGCCGGCTTGAAAGAAAGACCCAGAGTATCATGTGCTGCCTTTTGCCTGACCTCACCCAGAAGTGTGCAAGTGAAAGCGGAGATCAGCCAGGGACAGTACAGTCTACACCTTTGCCATAATTCACCCAGAGGAACTGCAGACTACTCTTTTTCCGCCTTCATCCAGTCCTTAGGGGAAACATCTGTGGAGCATCAGTGTGGAGAGAGGCCTATTGGCCAACACTGTGTTATTATGACGCTTTTTGCTAACATGTTGTTGCCGTCTGAAGAGTTCAGCCCAAGAGGACTGTATTGCTGACCTTTTAGTGGATTCCAAATATTCTCACCGGAAATTGAGCACTCCACCAGGAATTAAAGGGCCCCAAAGGAGACGTCTTTGTATAAAAATCTTTGCTGATGCTTCTCTGCTATTTGGATGGAGCTCTGTGATATGTGTTGCAAAAGCTCCTCTCCAGTAGTTTCTGCTATACTCAGCTGCACAGTTTTATACCATCCAGTGTCCTTCATCATTATCAACTAGGGTGAGAAATAGGTTGAGAAAATGGAAACTCTCATACTGTACATACTCATATGTATGCTTTACTTTCAGCAAGCAAAATGGTGAGAATTCATTTAAGGACAAACAAAAATGCAATGGGAGGATTTCCCCATTATTGCTGTTTTGTTGACAACTCCAAATTTCTGATTGTCCCTCACTTTCCTTACCAATGACAGTGGTTATCAGGACAAATAGAGAGCATAACAGTCCCTAAGGCCCCATTCACACCAGGGTGGAAGCATTTCAGCACGGCTCCCGTGCGATTTTTAAAAAGGGCGTCTCAGCGCTTAAAACGCAAATAAAAATGCGCTGATCCATTGCAATCTATATGGAAACCATGCTGATTAGCGCAAAAAATAGCTCAGGGAGCACTTTGGGCGGCAGGTGGTTCGGATTGCATGGAGCCATGCAGTCCCCATATGGAATGTATGGGATTGTTCATGTCGGCGGTTAAGCGCGACCAAACCGCCCTGGTATGAACGGGGCCTAACAGACGCAACAACCGTAATAACTGCTGTGCTGGTGACAAGCATTTTAATGTTAAGAAGAAGATAATCAGGCTTGGTTCAGGAACTACTGTATATCTGTCACAAACCTTTCCATGTCTATGAGAAGCCAGTACAAGCCAAAGCTACCTACTGACATCTGAATATTTTAATTTTGGGAGGACTAAGTATCATCTGGGTTGTCTGTGGGGTATGCCAGTCTTCAACAAACCAGTCTTCGAAATAAGATTGATAGAAAACCCAATTATCACACGATTCTGCCAAAATTGTCGGCCTATATGCTTTACAGATAAAAAAAACAACACTGTCCCACAGTCATTTCACTTGTAACAAATACAATCTAAACAGCAACATTTGACATTACCTCCCACATCAGTCTGTTGTCCATAGTTTCATCCAACTCACTGGGGATTCTTTTTTCTCCAGCAAACGGACCAAACTTTTCACCCTTTTAAAAGAAAAGTAATTTAGTTAATGTATGGAGAAATTAGCACCACTCATTATTCTGGTCAGACTTTTATATTGTAGTACCAAATCAGAGATTTATCTTAGTTAAACTGTAACAGATAACGTAAAAAGTACCTGGCCAACATGGTCGGAAAATCTGACCCCAACACAATGATTAGTATATAGCACTTTTATAGGTAAATATTGGTCAGTCAACTCACCAAAGTCATGATTTTTGAAGGCTTTGGTAACACACAAGCAAAGAGGGATGCACATCTAAAGGCTACTGAATATTCATAGATCTCATTACAACAAGGAGACTGACTGTGTGATTACAGATGACAGATTAGCCAACTTAACACTGACTTTTAGCAAGCACACTGGAATGCTTTATCTTATTATTCACAGAACAGAAGCAGGTAAGCATCTACAATAGCATTTGCAAATCCTGCAAAATACAGTTTATAGCTGACCAAAACGGAGAAAAGGAGGTTGTGAAGGTTTACTATTTTGTTTATTGATGTGTGATACTTAATTAGTATCCATGTTACTGTTAGTATTCATGATACTGTGTTCAGTGGTGTATTTTGGTTATGTGCTGCCCTAGGCAAGACTAAACTCGGGCACCCTCCTCAATATAAAGAATACATTGCTGTCCCCAGCCTGCTTCTGGGACATCCCACCATCAGATCACATGCTATGGCCAGCCCCAAGCCACCCGCTGCTTCTCCTCCCCCGTGTGTACAAAGCCAGCCGGGGCGCAAATCGCTGGGTCCTCCCCTCCACCAGGCAGCTCTCTAAGTAGGCAGCCGCTCTTAGGGCCTTGCGGCCGCCTAATTTGCCCCATTAGGCAGCCACTGCTGCCTGATTCTGTGCCGCCCAGCCTCGGCCCACTGGGCAAGTGCCCAGTATGCCCAAAGGCAAGTCTGGCCCTGTCTGCCTCATTGGTTTGGGGCGGTGTTTTCTGCTGCCTCCCTGGAAAGTGCCGCCCTAGGCAAATGCCTAGTTTGCCTTACGGTAGATACACCCCTGACTGTGTTAACAGTGGCTGGGCAAATCCCAGGAGCCAGGTAGCCGATGCTCCTTAAAATGTACAGCTGGCATCCAAATTTTGAGGTTTTCTCTAGTTGTCAATGGAGCTGGCTCCTAAAAAAAACCCAGCTGGCTCCTGGATTGGACAGACCAGCTCCTGAATTCCATATTAATTGGTCCACTCCTGGATTAGGGCCAGTTTCTTTAGACCCCTTCCCACTTTTGACCAGAAAATAACAAATTAACTACACACTAGTAAAGTCATGCCTGTGCTATAGCTTTCAATAAGCAAGCTCACATGGTAAGACTGACAGCACTATGCTATGCAAGGCCTACAGCAGGGGTGCCCACAATTTTTGTGTTATGATCTACTTTTCAAATGACGAGCTACATGAGATCTACCAACGGAAAAAAACTCCCTCACTCTCTCTTCTGGCTGTCTATCATTGCTCTCTCTCCTGGCTGTCTCTCCTCTCTCTTGCAACAGGCTGTGTAAACTAATATTCTTTGATGCAATACATAGCACTTTGATCACCAGTATCCATCAGAAAGGAGTCAGGGAGCTTGGCTCAGCAGACTCAGGCTAATAGGTAATCATGTGTGCACAGCTAAATAAATATACCAAAATGGAATAAAGGGGCCACCATTCACACCTTTCGTGATCTACCAGCATCAGCTTTGAGAGCTACTGGAAGATCACGATCTACATAATGGGCACCCCTGGCCTACAGTGATTGCCTCTTTCTGGAAGGTGTTGATATGGGCACCAAACGACATTGCTTTCCAAGCAATCTCATAATCATGAATGCTTAGGTGACCAGAATACTTATGTTTATGAACCTGGACCCATATACTTCATCAGATTGTCAGATCGTATATGTATCTGTAGTACTGACCATCCCCTAAGAGCTTGTTCCCACCAAATGCAGACCAGATCTGCATGAGTTTCTGCACTCGCAGTGCAGTGGGTTGTGCCGCGTCTTTGCCACGGTTTTTGCCGTGTTTTTGATGCGTTCCGGGCCGTTTTATGTTTTTTCGTTTAGAATGGCCTTTTAGTGTGTTCCATGGCGTTTGCATGCGTTTTTTGATGCGTTCCAGAGCAGGTGAAATAGGGCTTGCTGCAGTTCTTTCACATGCTCTGGAACTGAACCCTGCGGTGTGAACTAGAACCCAAAATACCATTGGAATACATTGGACGCAGTTTTTATCCGGTCTGTAACTGCTCTGCCCTGCTCCTGGAACGCGCTTGGTGTGAACAAGGCCTAAAGTCTATGACCAACTGTAAGCAGGCTATACAGTGTGAAATTATTTTTCTAGTGATACAAACCGGTCCACGCATTGCTAGAGATAAAACCAATTAAATACTGTATATTGCACTGCCAGCAATGCCAATTAAAAAAAAAAACAAGCTTCTATCTGCCACGAAAGTCCTTGCTGTTGGCAGAATTTGCTTAATCATGTAAATCAATGATGGCACTCATGACTCCCAAACAGTTCATATGTTTGACTTTCTGTCACATCTAATAGAGGAATCTATCAGTTTATTACTGACCTTGCTAAATGGTGCTCCCATTGCCATTTTATTCTTATTATTAAAGCAGCACCTTATTGAGAATGAGTCGTTCACAAAAAACACTATACCATAGTGGTCTACAATAACAATGCACAGAAGAGCTTACAATCTTGCCAAGGGAACTTCCATGAAGTAGATGTAACCCCAATCACTAAGATTTCATATAATGTTAAAGTGCAACTGAAGCCAGAATATTTTTTTTTAGTTTTGGATGGAATGGAGAGGGATATTGTTGTCTGTGTCCATGTTAGGCAGATTCACTCTCTCTCTATTTTTCCTGGTGACCATTATCACTCAAAGTGAAAGAAAATCCCAAATGTTGGGTTCTCATCAGAACAGGAAACGATGAGAAATCTTCCAATGGGGACAGCACTTCTGGTGCTTTGGAGGGATTTCTCCTCACTGCTGTTGTGTCTATCGGACAGGCAGTAAAGAGAAATCTAAGCAATGGGACACGGGCAAAAAAAAAGGTGCCTGGGGTTATAACCCTCCCTTACTCTATCCAAAACAAAAACAAAAAAAAGAGGTTTGGCTTCAGCTCCACTAGAATCTCATTTAAAAATAAATTTTCAATCTTAAAAGATTTTCATAAAGCTTTCATAAAAAGATACTTTATAATTCTGACATTTAGTTCTTATTTCAGGCACTTTGTGATACAGAGTGACAACACTCTGTCCCTGTAAAGATAGGAGTCACCAGCACTTACCGGTATTTGTAATGTGCAAAAAGGAAAGCACTTTTATTGATACGTCACATGCTTTAAGAAGCCAGCGTTTCAGGGCCGCGCATGTCGCCCTGATGAAGGGACCCTGCGCGGCCCCCGAAACGTTGGCTTCTTGACGCATGTGACGTATCAGTAAAAGTGCTATACTTTTCACACATTACAAGTGAGTGCTGGTAACTTCTATCTTTACTTGGACTGTAGCACGGTACCATCCTTGTCATCATTTCGAGCACCAACGGACATTTCGTTTGGTTCAAGCGCTGTATGGTGTGCAGGTGATTCTCTAACGCTATTTGAACAATCTATCCCTGTCACTGCTGTCCTGCATTGTCCCACTGTCACATACAGTTTGGGTGGAGACTACAAGTGGGCGTGCCAATTCTCAATGTGTAGGAGTGGACCGCTGTTGTCACCAACAGGAAACCCACCCTAAGAAATGCCATGAATCCATTGCTAGAGAGCATGTAGACCGGAGTTGGCTGCTAAAGATCAGCAGAACTGAGATGCAGCAAAGGATGAAATAAAGTGAGGGAAGTATGATACCCAGCACATTTTGCAAACACATGTCATTCACTTAGCTTTTACATGTACTTAAATAGCCACCCTCTAGAAGGAAGGACAGTGTCGGCACCAATTCAGAGATGATTTGAGGATGTACAGACGAGTGATACACAAATCACAAATAAGATACATTTTTGTTAATAGTTAAGTTACCTGAATGCATATTTAAGATTTAACTCCTGAGTTCAGTGTCACTTTAAATAGCCTGTATAGAGCTGTGGGAGGGACCTATCCGGCCCCACCCACTACAGCCTAGATGCAGAAAACTACAGCAGGGGGTGGATACAAGACCAGTCACCCTACACAAGGAGAGAGAGCAGCAGTGACAGGTCTTTATTACAGGAAGCTCCTGCACAGAGACAACGTTTTACACTGGATTACTGCACAGATCTGGAAGATATATATATACGCAGAGCACCCCAAGATTCAAGAAGTAATAGACATGCCTCTGGTATTTAGACAATATTTTTTTATCCCTGGGGTCAGCTTTAAAAAAAATGTATGAAATGTTAATGAATATAGATCTGAATTAAATTGGGCCTTTATATCTGCCTGAAATTCAGTTTACAGGGCTCCTTCACACCATCTGCGTGACTGCCTTGTCTTGCGTTTGGGCTGCACTGGAAAAAATGGGCAGCTGAGCCCGAGTGCAAGATAAGACAATGTGCCTTGTCATAGATGGTGACAGTTTACACCACTGCATTCTGTTGGTGTGCGCTTCCAAAAAAAGTATGGCATGCAGTATTTTTTTAAGCACAGCGCAGTGAGACAGGGAACAACCACATTGCACTGCGGTGAGCCCATAGAACCGAATCAAATGTCACTTGTGACATTTCAATAAAGTTCTACCAAAAAAAGAGAAGAAAGTGCTATGCAGCTTGATCGAGCTCATCAGCACTGAGCAGCCCCACACACAGCAGCAGCCGTGCGGTCGAGCGCGGCTGCTGCTGTGAACAAGCCCTAAAGCCAGCGACGGCCCCGGGGTGGATGTCATGACCGTGCTGTGACATGATCAACTATGCGCGGCGATGTATTTCACTGCCGGCAGCCATCTTGGGGATTGGACATCAAAAAACAGAGGAGATATTGACCTGGCGGGATCAGGTATGCCGCCGATTCCCCCAACTCTCTCTCATGCCACAGTTGCGCTTTCGGGCCATGGCCAATTGCCCGACTTTTAAGAGGGGGTGAGACCAAAATGACTGTCAGTCATTTTGGTGTCACTCCCCCTGATGGTGTCACCCAGTACGGATCGTGCCACTGCCTAAAGCCCATCTCCGGCCATACCAAAAAACACCCCTTACCGTTCTTGCGTTCTGGATTATACCTAGGGGACCGGAGTAAAGTCCTTTTACGTACCTGATCCCTTGTCCGCTGGCGGTCAGTGCTCACCTCTCTCCCCATCCACTTGGCGTTCTTACGTCCAATGCAGTTCTATGGAACCTTCATTAGACGTAACGGCGTCAGCGGTCCTTAGATCGCCAGAATGAAGAGGAGATAAGTCTGCGGAGACCGGTCTAGCCAACAAGAACAGGGGTCAAGTAAGTAAAACAGCTTTTTCCTGTCCCTAGGCATGAAGCAGCACTTAACCCTTGCAGTGCGGGGGGTGGGACATTTTTTTGGATTGCCTTTAACCAGCAAAGGTTAGGTAATTGGTCAGCCCGTGTGTGTGTGTCTATGTGCTCCCCCTAGTAGCTTGTCATGCATCCCTTCTCCCTGTACACGGAGCCGAGCAGTGTAGACGTGGCATCTCCCCTCCCGGCTGCCTGAACTAACACCCGAGAGCCCGGCTCTCCGTCCCCTCGTCACACGAACCTTTTTCACTCTCCTGCTGGTGTACAGCCCCATCCCGTCTTGGACGTGGGAAGACTTCAGAGAAAATCTGTCTGGCACGTACATGCCCAGCATGTTTATGGCTTTCTAATAGATATGAGCGGGCACAGGAGAGTGGCCGGACTGGGTGGAGGTGGCAGTTTATTTCATGGTGTGGGCAGCAGTGAGGGGGGGCAGTCAGTCGCTGCCGGGCACACGAACTCCACGTCCCGTGTCTTCTTCTCTCCGGTGCCCTCACTCCGGTACAGGGCGGAGAGCTGCCTTCCTATTGGCTGGAAAGTTTGGCTCGTCCCAAAGCCCGGCTGAGGAATGAAGGATGACTTCACTCCTGGGTCATTCCTTCCCCCTCACATACAGAAGAATCTCCTGATATTTACTAATATTGCCATGTCTGCGCTGGGGGGGAGGGTTGTAATACCTGGTTTTCATCTAACATACATATAAGGCGTATGATTAAAGCCACTGGCACTGCAAGGGTTAACTGCTGCTTTATACCTAGGGGATAGGAAGAAGCTATTGTATTTACACGTTTGCAGCCAAAGTGGGATAACACACACTTTATATTTGTTATATGTTCTCATTCCCATAGCATAACTTCAAAACATTAAACATTGTTGCTTACAGTGATCCTGTCCTCTTCCATTTCTTGACTTTCACTTTCCTTAGTCTTGTTTTCTTGTCGATTTTCTTCCATTTGCTAGTTTGTCCCCTTTCCCCCGTTTTTTTAGGTAACCCTATCCTCCTGGCTTCAATATGCAGTATACTCCCCGTTAGCCGGTATCCAAAGGGATTGGTAGATTCCAGATAAATGTAGTTTCTGATTGCTTGAGAGTTACTATTAAAAATAGGTCTAACTAATGCCATACCCCAGGGAAATTTTTTTTCTGGTTAGATGAGAGCTCTGGTTAGTGAATACCAGATAACTGAGAGTTTACTGTGCATTCAAAATGTGATAATTTTGTAATCTTAAGGCTAGGTTCACACGGCGCGGTCAGGAGTCGCCAAGGTGTGAACCGTTCACACTGTGGGTGCCATTATTTGTTAATGGCACCCCAGTCGCACTGGGCAGATCACGCGGTTTCCCCGCCACGATTCCGCCCGTGCTTCCTACCACTGCAAAACAGCCGCGCATCGTGTATCGCCAAAAAAAAGGTACTTGTACCTTTTTTTCTGCGATTGCCGTGCAGATGTCACCCCATTGAAATCAATTGGGCCGCACGGCAATCACTGCCTGCAGTGTGCAGGGCAGCACGACACCCGGGACGCGCGTCTCGGGTGTCGTGCGGTGTAGTGCAGGTGTGAACCTAGCCTCAAGGGTACCGACAACTCTGTCACTTCATCATGCATAATGTATGAGTATTGTTTTCCTTTCCAACTGTACACCTCAAGATGTTTGTTTGTATTTCTTCTTTGAAAATCACTACATTTTGTTTGACCAAAAAAAAAACATTATTGCTTACATTTTTGAGTGTTTTTACTTTCTTAAAAATACTTGCTAGCTTCCCCACTATGTAATGTAAAGGAGTGGGGGGGGGGGGTTATATTTACTATAATTAACCCCGTCTGTACTGTGCTGGTAGATCTCATTAACACTTGTAAACTCGTTTTAAACTGTGTCTGTCCTAACAAAGGGTTAAAGACATAGGCTGCATGCACACGGGGCTTTAGGCTGTGGCTGGGGATTCTTACATCAGGAACCTACAGATTCTTACTACAAGAATCCCCGGTGTGTTTGTACAGATGATGCGTCCGTTCAAGTGAATGGCAGAGTGACAGCGACCAGTACTTACATGCAGCAGTCTGCATGTAAGTGTACATGGAAAGATTACCTGCGGTACAAGATAGGTGATTGCCCCTGGATGCAGACAGATTGTGTTCCATGTACAACTGCATGCAGACTGGCGCTGTCAGATGGGGCCACTGTCACCCTGCCATTAACTTGAATGGGCACAGTGGGCGCATCTGTAGAGGCACACCTGGGATTCCTGCCGCAAGAATCCGGAGGTTCTTTCCACAGGAATTCCTAGTCGCAACCTAAAGCCCTGTGTGCATGGGACCTTAAAGGCATTGTATGTTAATGAGAAGAAGGTCAATCTGTCCCCCAGTTTGTTCCTCTACTTTCACTTTAAACTGCTCAGAGTAGCCTGGAATCTGCACAAAGACCAATTGGAACACAACCACATAGAGAGATTTTCTTAAATTTGACTACAATAGTGGAAATACAGTTTAAGCTGACTACAAACTGAGCGAATTTTGGGCAGTTCTTTATGAATAGGCGTAAAAATCCGCTCAGTGGGTGGCCCTGTTTACCTGATCCTTGCTGCTACAGGTACCCTTCGGGCCAGGGGGGATCTGCTGCGATGCAAACAAGGCTTTTGCAAAAATGCCGCCCCTAAAACAGTTAGGCACCCGGGCAGGGGAGGCAGCAGCGGAGGAGTCTGAAGACGCCGAGGAGGAGGCGGAAGGCAGATGAGGAGGAGAAGCAGGAGGGGGCAAGGAGGAGCAGCAGGAGGGGGTGGGCGAGTCTGGGGTAATGTCGGATCAGAAAGGTGTGGGGTCAGGGCGCCGTCACACCGTAGAAAGCCGGGTCACCAAAGAGCCTCCATGTCCTGCAGCACCAGTCCAGTGGTGGAGGGGGCAGGGGACCAAGCAACAGGTAAGAGGATCATACTGCTGCTGCCTGCAGAGCCCAGCATGGATTCTGCATAGCCCACCTGAGAGTCTTGGGTGGGCTGTGCAGGATCTGTGGTGGGCTCTTTGGCATCTATGGTGGGCAGTCTGCAGGGTCTCAGGGGGGCTTTGCAGGATCTGTGGTGGGCTCTGCAGGGTCTCAAGGGGGCTTTGCAGGATCTGTGGTGGGCTCTGCAGGGTCTCAGGGGGGCTTTGCAGGATTTGTGGTGGGCTCTGCGGGGTCTATGGCAGAGCCCACCACAGATCCTGCACAGCCCCCCTGAGATCCTGCAGATTTAGTGTGGATGGGGGTGCTCGAGTTTCGTCTTGCCTAGGGCAGCCCCAAACCAGAATACACCACTACTTCGGGCTGCTAGACTGGTACCTGCAGCCTCTTCCCTTCTAGGCATTAACAAGGAGTTAACTGAAAGTGATATCAGTACCAGTGACACCAGAACAAGAAATTAATGGAATGAGGGTCATGTGAACAATAAGGTTCAGACAGCAATAAAAACATGATGCAGTATTTCTTGCTCAACTTAAAAAGGATTTTTTTTTTGTTTCACTTGGCTTTTTGCAATCTCTATTTCCAATTGTAAAACCCTACAGGACAGAAAGACTGAAGTAATCTCCCCTGTGGGGGCACAGACAGAGGAAAAATATTGAAGAGGTTATAGTCAAGATATAGTCAAGATACATTCTGTCCCGCCCCCCCCCCCAAGGCCAACTGTCTAGTGCTGCCCAGCAATCAGTACCCCAGTTTACGGTTTAGTGCTCGCTCTCCATCCTCATTTCTGCAGACTGCTCAATGTATAAACATGCAAGTGCATGCTTTTGCATAGATTGCTCTGTAGAGCATCCTTCAGTGTGGATTGGTCATATAACTGCCATCTTGTGTTTTGTTTATGACTAGCCTCAGTGTCACGCTAACAAGATCATAATCATAAAGGTTAGATGACAGGTCTTTGGACTTAACAAAGGTACTCACACTGTATGGGAGCTGGATTGTGGTCAGTAGGAGTGAACAAATATTCTAGCATCTGAGATCAGCAGGTGTAAAAATGCCCCTACGTTGGTGCCGAGTGGGAGTACAAAATTCTTGGGGCAGAGGTCAGTAGGAGTAATGAATGCCCCTTGGTCAGTGGTGACTAATGAATGCCCCTTGGTCTGTGGGAGTAAGGAATGCCCCTTGGTCGGTAGTGAGTAATGAATGCCTCTTGGTCAGTGGTGAGTAATAAATGCCCCTTGGTCAGTGGGAGTAAGGAATGCCCCTTGGTCAGTAGGAGTAGTGAATGCCCCTTGGTCAGTAGGAGTAGTAAATACACCTCGGTCAGTAGGAGTAGTAAATACCTCTTTGTCTGCAAGAGTTACGACTACCTCTTGGTCAGTAGGATTAGTAAATGCCTCTTGTTCAGTGACAGTAATAAATAGGAGTAGTAAATGCCTCTTGGTTAGGAGGAGTAGTATATGCTTCTTTGATCAGTAGAAGTAATGAATGCCCCTTGGTCAGCGGGAGAAATTAATGTCCCTTGGTTAATAAGAGTAATGAATGCCCCTTGGTCAGTGGGAGTAATCAATGTCCCTTCAGTTAGTAGGAGTAATGAATGCACCTTGGTCAGGTGGAGTAATAAATCCAACTTGGTCAGGGGTAGTAGTAAATGCTCCTTGGTCATTGGGAGTAATGGATATCCCTTGGTCAGTGGGAGTAATTAATGTCCCTTGGTTAGAGAGAATAATGAATGCCTATTCACCAGTGGGAGTAATTAATGCCCCTTGGTCAGTGAATATAAAAAATGCATATTCATCAGTGGGAGTAGTGAATTCCCCTTAGTCAGTAGGAGTGATGCATGCCCCTTGTTCCGTAGGTGTGATGTATGCCCTTGGGTCAGTGAGAGGAAAAAATGTCCCTGTTTCAGAGGGGGTAAAACATGCTATATCATCAGTGAGAAAAAATGCCTTTGATTATTGGGAGTAGTAGTAACTGGCAGTAAAGATTCCCCTGAATCCTTGGAAGGCATATGCTTCGGCTCAACTGAGCCGAGGTGAAAGCCGAAGCTGGCCGAGCGGCCGGCCGACAGCCTGCTTCTGACAGCTAGGCCGAGCCAGCCGTGATGTTACGGCTGGCTCCGGCCACTTGCAGAGAGATCAGCGTCCTTGGTTATCAGCTAACCAGGGACACTTGTCCCCAAGAGAGTAAACCTTTCCCTGCTTTTTTTTTTTTTTTTATTCTGACATGGAGCCATTGGCTGCCGTCAGAATAATAAAAAAAATAGTCACCATAGGAATGCATTGTTAGATTCCTATTGGCTATTTCAATTTGTAATAGCCAATAGCAAACAGTTATTGCACGCGCCCACTGCTGCTGTCAATCAGCAGAGGGGACCTGCAGTTCTCCATCAGGTCCCC